GGGGAAGTGGTTCTCATTTGCCAGAACCCATTTGAGGGTTCAAACCAGCCGCACTTCCGCAGATGAGGGGCTTCTTTCAAAGAATGGAACATTTGTTGCACCTTTTGGATTTTCGATTGAGGGCTGCCTGTCGTGGTATGTGTTTGTTGGGCAGAGGGAACTTGCGTGGAGCGGGTAAAAGGTCGGGGCACCTGCTGACACCGCTGCATCAGTATGTCGACCCTACTTGTTTCTTACACCAGGAACCGATCAACACATGTAGGCAGGGTATGCTCCTTAGCTGAAATCCGACTGAGAAAGAATTAGTGGTTTTGAAATTGCGGCAGCGTAAACTAAACTCAGCCCACCTGCCAAATACGTGCTGGTTTTGGCATCATCAGCGATTCTATATGTTTATAGACATAGTTATCTATGTTGGGCCGGGCAGCTTGCATCGGGAATGGCGTTTGATCACAAAGAAAGCAAGTCGGAAAGATCCAACCAACAACGGTTTGAATGGCACATGCTGTTCAGCGAGCAGCTCTCTTATGTTTTACGAACAAAGTAGAACTACGACACACAATGTGGTGATCGACTTGATCGACCTTTGCAATGGATTGGGGTGTCAGGGAAGGTGCGATACGAGACTGAATTTATGGATATTCTGGAGTTCAAATCATAGAGCTCACTCTTGCAGATGGATGCCCTTTTTCCCCCTGACCACCTGCGGTTTGGGTAGATGGATCCGAATATAAAGAAGCCCTTTTGTCCTGAGAAAAAGCCAAAGATTTGTTCGCCAGAAACAGGGGCCTTTTCTACCTGCCAGCAACAACACTTATTGTAAAGGTAGACCACTAAGTTCTAAAGCTTGGTTCCCCGTTCTTTTCAGCAATGCTTCGTTTCATACATGGCTGTGGGTCAAAAATAGGTACTCAAAATGGAACCCTGGCAATGGAATGGAAACATGGACTAAAACCTGCGGTGCACCAATACCCAAATGCTTCTCCCCTGGGTGCATTGATTTTCTCGTGTTTCGCACTGCACTCGTTGTTTGTCCTGACAGCCAGGCATTGCTGGGCGTGTCGGCCCGACAGCGTGGCACTGAGCTTTTGAAGTTCGTGATGTTGCCCGCGGATTGCTAAAACAACCTGTTAATGATTAGGGGGTGCTTTTCGCTGGGTGGCAGCAAGCTTCGGCTCACATAGCGGTTGATCAGACGTTGCTGGTGTTTTCGGGCAATCTTGGAGGTATGGAAGTGCAGAGGAGGGTTTTTGAAGACTACAACCAGAGGGTTTCAGGGTTTCTTAGCACTCATGTTCTTAGTAGTTGCGAGTAGAGGGATGCCGTGCTGAAGCTACTCCAAGTGTGCTTCGATTGAAGCTCGAGGCCAAGTCTAGAGGTCACTTTCTCGTTGCACCGCCTACACAAATCTACGAAAGAGGGTCCTCGCATTCAGGTTTTGTTTGTCAGATGTAGCCATGGCATGGCATATGGCATGGCACACGGGATGATTCCTGCGGTTGTCCAAGGCTCTCAAATATGCAGGGCATCAGCGATGAAGTCAAGGAGTCTGTGTCAAAGGCTGGGACGGGATGGATCCTGACCCACGCAACATGCCGGACTGTACCTATTGGTTCTGTTGCTCGATATATTCTTCTTGCTGTTTTGGTTTGGCGATGTGTCAAAATGGGCCGGCTCCCATCTGAGTCTTCAATAGCCTTTGTCTTAATGCAACCGAATGGACACCAACACGGAATGGGTGATGTTTTTTCTTTATTTAGTGGCCAAACATGCAAAGTTTCGTCTATTCATTTAGATCACTTAGGGTTCTTTGGAAAACGCTCGATCCGGGTCGCTAGCTGTGATGAACGCCCATGCCACATACCGGTTTCCTGGGTGTGTGCAAGTACGATTCAATGTTTCTTCGGTGTCGAGCTGTGGATCTGAAATGACACCGGGAGTAGAAAAGGTGGAAAGTTAGCAACAAGCACAAATATTTGATTATAGCCCTTAGCTGTGAATGGCTTTCACAAAGAGGCCCGGCACTTTGCCACTAGCTTTGTTGGCCTCGAAGACCTTGCATATGTTGTTCAAGAGATCAGACAACGCATCCGAGCCAAAGTGTTGAAGGCACACAAGGGCATGTAGTGCTCCCTACCAAGTGTGAATGCAGAGAACACTGCTATTCCAAAAAAGTGTAGACGGCCATTTACAAACGCGCAGTTTGTTAGCACCGGAATACTGACAACGGTCTTCAGCCATTTAGGGACTTGTTTTCGGACCGAGAGGATGCCTGCACTCGACCTTTGGCTGTGACCAGCGGCGCAGTTGGCTTTGTACTCCAGAAAATTAACACTGAAATGAATCCATGAGTCAAGAAGCCTGCTTTTCAAGAGTTTTATCGTGCTTTTTGGTGTAGATCAACCCTCAAGGCTGAGTTTGTGTGACTTGAAGCCCTCAAGAGCATGTTTCCATTCTCCCTTGCTTTCAAAGAGAAATGGGCACTGAACACGTTGGGGTGTGGCACCTTGAAGTTGACGTCCGACTTCTCAATCGGCGGCTTCAGTTTTATAATTTGGTCGACAACATAAATCCATGCCCAGGTGGTACCCAAATTAAGGGCCTATCCCGGGCTTATCCAGGGATAGCCCCCCATAGTCCGCTAGAGGTCCATAAAACCCTCAGAACCCCAGAAAAAAGCTCTGAGTCTAGTTGAGAGATGCGAGTATCAAAGTGAAGGCCCACTTCAACTGGTCGATTTCCTTCTTTTTCCGTTGGGCTCTCAAATAAGCCGGCGGCAAGACCATCCTTCCGCGGCATCCAAGCTGCGAATGGCAAAACTTTCAATCCATCACTTTGCTGCGAGCCAAACACCTCCCCCAGACTCTGCGTGTTTCCAACCACTTGAGTTCAGGTTACCCTTACTTGGTTTGCATGGGTGTTTTGGGGATCGGAGCCCCAGTTCTTTTCGAAGCCAACCGAGGAAGGTACCCCTTGCGGTCCAAAGCACCAAACCACCAACCCGCCAAACCACCAAACCGCCAAACCACCAAACCACCAAACCACCAAACCGCCAAACCGCCAAACCACCAAACCAAACCGCCAAACCACCAAGAAGAAGAGAGCTGATCGGTCCCCTTGTCTCCGCCCCCATGGTGTCTCATCCCCCACGTGGCGGCAGCACGTCGCAGGCCTGCTGCTTCGTGCACCAGGAGGTGATCCGAACCTCCTTCATCTTCGAGGACCGCCTGAGGCGGCGGGCGGCTTTTTGGCTCGGGAGAAGGCGAAACTCCGGCCGTTTGGTTGCCCAAAGGCTCTATGAAAAAAGAACAATCCAAGGGGACCCAAGGAAAGATGAGGACAATCCTCAGGTAAAGAATGATGGTTATATGTTTAAACAAAAGAGCACAGTGCTTTATTGGTGGTTTGAACTCCAGGGTCACAGTGCCACTCACTTCGACTTCGGCAAAACGCCCAAAACCTCATATGGGCACCAAGCTACGGCAGGCTGGGTCCGTTGGGGGCTGTTGTGAGTCGAACTTCTTGCTGGGAAGCAGTGGCAGATTTGTTTGAAGTACTGTTAAAGGAGACTCAATGCATTGCCAGTTTCCCCTGTTCACTTTGAAACATACTGTTGTTTGACGACGTGGTTGACACTGCAAGGCACTCGCTGCTCATAATGCTCATGAGATACAGATTCATGGATGCTGCCTGAAGTGAGACTCAACCTGACCCACCCCAAACGAGCGCAAAGGTAGCAAAAGAGTGAACTGGTACGCTACACAATCCTTCACAGCATCGAAACTGTGTCAAGATCCTACCCCAGTTGTATTTTGGCACCCTCCTTCATCCCTTTTTGTTTGATGGATTCCCCACAAGCAACGGCTTACCCCAAAAGAAATGGGTATGGGTGCGTCTATTTGCCAGGGTTCCATCTGGGGTACCTAAATGTTGACCCACGCCCAAATGATGCCCAGGGAGCTGCCGGTTGCAACTAGGCAATGAGATCAGCCTGCAGGCGCAAGGTCTACGTCACTCCCAAGTCGTACCTGGACCTCATCAGCCACAGCGGCAGTGAGGGATATGGGGCGTATGGGGTGCGTCTTGTTTGAGGGTACCCGTTTCTGTGTGGTTTTAAAAGGACGCCCACCAATTTGAGGGTCCCTAAAAAGACACACCCGTGCATAGGCTTCCTTTATCAGTTTGGCTGAAACTGGAAGGCACTCTTTTCGCTTCGATTCCAATTCACCAATGTTGTCTAGTTGTCCATGCCGAAGGGCAAGATAGTGTCAAAACTAAGCTCTTATTGATCAAAAAAACATAGCCAGCAACGCTTTGGCCTCAAGAGCCCGCTGCTCATTTTTGGAGGGTTGGGAAGTGCATGTTCAGTCCTTCTTGAAGTGAGGTGTTTTCTTTTCCTGGCAATTGGGCACAAGAACGTCTGTGCCTGGGAGATGTGGTGATGCTGGATGTCGTGCTTCACATGAATGGCCCCTCTTTGCAGCTAGATTGTTTCCATACAGCGAATACGCATAGCTTCCACGATCTAAGTCTTGAGTCATGTTGACCCGTATGCATCAACCCCAGTTTATTAACAAGGGGGGTGTCCCTGGGTTTAGTGGGGAATCATGACCTTTTTGAGGGGTCAAAAACCACCCCCGTATAATAACAAACTGGTTGGTCGATTCATATGGGGTCCGAACAAAAAAGCGCGAGCCCTTGCCTCGTTCGGAGCTTCTCCGGTCCTTCGACCCTGAGCCGTTTGCGCGATGCAATCCCGCGCCAGCCCGCAAGAGCTTCTGGATCTGGCTTTGTCTCTACAAGCTTGGAACCCTGAAGACAATAAATATTTCATACATGGGGTAGACTCAACACTCGTGTATTATTTTTCCATAGGGCTAGACTCAGAACTTAGCCAAGCATCCCAACATCACTCTCCTTTCCTCCAGCTGCCAGCCTAAGACTCGAGACGTCGAGGCAGGCAATGCGCCGATGCGCTGGGCCCAGGTTTGTACCTGGAGATGATCCAAGAGAAGAAGGACGAGAAGGACATCTCGCTGAAGCGGCTGCAGACCGGCGTGGACAAGATCGATGAGGCGATTTTGACGCGACCCCGATCCACGAAAAAAGCTCTGAAATGGGCGTGTCTTTTTTTTTCCGAGACCCGCCCAAGAGAATGTTTCAGGTTGTTCCCTTTGAAACCACGAACAACAACTGGACCCAAATGGTGCTTCGGCCCTTTTAATTTTGTTTGGTACATATATGCATATTTAAGGGCTGCCGCCCAGTGCCGCCGCCCCAGCGGGGTTACTGTCCTGTATGTTGGCCTTTGAGGTAGACCCCGGGGTCTGTGGATGCTTTGGCCGGCTTTGGTAGGCTCTTGTTTCCTTTTTGGGCAGCGTTCCTTTGCCTTTTTTTGGACTTTCCGGTATGTCGGCCTCTGAGGCAGACTGGGGGTCTGCGGACATTCGGGCTGCCTTTTGGTATTGGTTATTTTTTTTTTGTTGGGGGACTTGCCTGTATACTGGTATCTTGTTTTTCTCTTTTTTTGGACGTTCCTGCATGTTGGTGTTTGAGGTAGATCCCGGGGTCTGCGGATACTCGGGATGCCCTTGGTAGTGTTTCTTTTGTGTTTTTGGGGGACCGTCTGTATGTCGGTGTGTGAGGTAGACCCCGAACTCTGCGGATACTCGGGCCACTGCTGGCTTCTTTGTTTTTGTGTTCGGGGGGACTGTCTTGCATGTTGGATTGTGAGGTAGCCCTTGGGGTCTGCAGATACTCGCTTTTGTGTTTTTGGGGGACCGTCTGCATGTCGGTGTGCGAGGTAGACCCCGAACTCTGCGGATACTCAGGCCACTGCTGGCTTCTTGGTTTTTGTGTTCGGGGGGACCTCACAAGCCACTACCAACAGCAGCCCGAGAATCCGCAGACCCCGGGGTCATGTATGTATGTATGTATGTATGTATGTATGTATGTATGTATGTATGTATGTATGTATGTATGTAATGTAATGTATGTATGTATGTATGTATGTATGTATGTATGTAATGTAAGGTAATGTAATGTAATGTAATGTAATGTAATGTATGTTTGTAATGTAATGTAATGTAATGTAATGTAATGCAATGTATGTATGTATGTAATGTAGTGTAGTGTAATGTAATGTAATGTAATGTAATGTAATGTAACGTAACGTATGTATGTATGTAATGTATGTATGTATGTATGTATGTATGTATGTATGTATGTATGTATGTATGTATGTATGTATGTATGTATGTATGTAATGTATGTATGTATGTATGTATGTATGTATGTATGTATGTATGTAACGTATGTATGTATGTATGTATGTATGTATGTATGTATGTATGTATGTATGTATGTATGTAATGTATGTATGTATGTATGTATGTATGTATGTATGTATGTAATGTATATGTATGTATGTATGTATGCATGTATGTATGTATGTATGTATGTATGTATGTATGTATGTGTGTAATGTATGTATGTAATGTATGTATGTATGTATGTATGTGTGTATGTAATGTATGTATGTATGTATGTATGTATGTATGTATGTATGTATGTATGTATGTATGTATGTATGTAATGTATGTATGTATGTATGTATGTATGTATGTATGTATGTATGTATGTATGTATGTATGTATGTATGTATGTATGTATGTATGTATGTATGTATGTATGTATGTATGTATGTATGTATGTATGTAATGTATGTATGTATGTATGTATGTATGTATGTATGTATGTATGTATGTATGTATGTATGTATGTATGTATGTATGTAATGCATGTATGTATGTATGTAATGTATGTAATGTATGTAATGTATGTAAATGTATGTAATGTATGTAATGTATGTATGTATGCATGCATGCATGTATGATTGTATGTATGCGTGTATGTATGTATGCGTGTATGTATGTATGTATGTATGTATGTGTGTATGTATGTATGTATGTATGTATGTATGTATGTATGTATGTGTGTATGTATGTATGTATGTATGTATGTATGTATGTATGTATGTATGTATGTATGTATGTATGTATGTATGTATGTATGTAATGTATGTATGTATGTAATCTAATGTAATGTAATGTAATGTAATGTAATGTAATGTAATGTAATGTATGTATTGTATGTATTGTATGTATTGTAATGTAACGTAATGTAATGTAATAAAATGCAATGTATGTATGTATGTATGTATGTATGTATGTATGTATGTATGTATGTATATAATGGTATGTATGTATGTATGTATGTATGTATGTATGTATGTATGCATGCATGTAATGTATGTACGTACGCACGTACGTTTGTATGTATGCAGTGTATTTACTGCATGTATGTAATGTGTGCATGTCTGTAATGTATGTATGTATGTACGCATGCATGTATGTATGTAAGTAATGTAATGTAATGTAATATAATGTAATGTAATGTAATTATGTATGTATGTTTGTATGCATTGTAATGTATGTATGTATGTATGTATGTATGTATGTATGTATGTAGGTATGTAATGAATGTATGTAATGTATGTATGTATGCATGTATGTATGTATGTAATGTATGTATGTAATGTATGTATGTATGTATGTATCTATGTATGTCATGTATGTATGTATGTAAGTAATGTATGTATGTATGTATGTATCTATGTATGTATGTATGTATGTCTGTAATGTATGTACGTACGCACGCGCGTTTGTATGTATGCAGTGTATTTACTGCATGTATGTAATGTGTGCATGTATGTATGTATGTAAGTAATGTAATGTAATGTAAAATAATGTATTGTAATGTAATGTAATTATGTATGTATGTATGTATGCATTGTAATGTAATGTATGTATGTATGTATGTATGTATGTATGTATGTATGTATGTATGTATGTATGTATGTATGTAATGAATATATGTAATGTATGTATGTATGCATGTATGTATGTATGTAATGTATGTATGTAATGTATGTATGCATGTATGTATGTCTGTATGTATGTATGTATGTAATGTATGTATGTATGTATGTATCTATGTATGTATGTATGTCTGTATGTATGTATTTATGTAATGTATGTATGTATGTATGTTTGTATGTAGGTATGTATGTAATGTATGTATGTATGTATGTATGTATGTATGTATGTATGTAGGTAGGTATGTATGTATGTATGTATGTATGTATGTATGTATGTATGTATGTAATGTATGTAATGTATGTAATGTATGTAATGTATGTAATGTATGTAATGTATGTAATGTATGTAATGTATGTAATGTATGTAATGTATGCAATGTATGTAATGTATGTATGGATGGATGGATGGATGGATGGATGTATGTAATGTAATGTAATGTAATGTAATGTAATGTAATGTAATGTAATGTAATGTAATGTAATGTAATGTAATGTAATGTAATGTAATGTAATGTAATGTATGTATGTGATGTATGTATGTATGTATGTATGTATGTATGTATGTATGTATGTATGTATGTATGTGTGTGTATGTATGTATGTATGTATGTATGTATGTATGTATGTGTAATGTATGTATGTATGTATGTATGTATGTATGTATGTATGTAATGTATGTATGTATGTATGTAATGTATGTATGTATGTATGTATGTATGTATGTAATGTAATGTAATGTAATGTATGTATGTATGTATTTATGCATGTAATGTAATGTATGTATGTATGTATGTATGTATGTATGTATGTATGTATGTATGTATGTATGTATGTATGTATGTATGTATGTATGTATGTAATGGATGTATGTAATGTATGTATGTATGTATGCATGTATGTATGTATGTATGTATGTATGTATGTAATGTATGTATGTATGTATGTATGTATGTATGTATGTATGTATGTATGTATGTATGTATGTATGTATGTATGTATGTATGTATGTAATGTATGTACGTATGTATGTATGTATGTATGTATGTATGTATGTATGTATGTATGTATGTATGTATGTATGTATGTATGTATGTATGTATGTATGTCTGTAATGTATGTATGTATGTATGTATGTATGTATGTATGTATGTATGTATGTATGTATGTATGTATGTATGTATGTATGTATGTATGTATGTATGTATGTATGTATGTAATGTATGTATGTATGTATGTATGTAATGTATGTATGTATGTATGCAAATGTATGTATGTATGTATGTATGTATGTATGTATGTATGTATGTTTGTTTGTATGTAATGTATGTAATGTAATGTAATGTAATGTAATGTAATGTAATGTAATGTAATGTAATGTAATGTAATGTAATGTAATGTAATGTAATGTAATGTAATGTATGAATGTACGTATGTATGTATGTTATGTATGTATGTAATGTATGTATGTATGTATGTATGTATGTATGTATGTATGTATGTATGTATGTATGTATGTATGTATGTATGTAATGGTATGTAATGGTATGTAATGGTATGTAATGGTATGTAATGGTATGTAATGGTATGTAATGGTATGTAATGGTATGTAATGGTATGTAATGGTATGTATGTATGTAATGGTATGTAATGTATGTAATGTATGTATGTATGTATGTATGTAATGTATGTATGTATGTATGTATGTATGTATGTATGTATGTATGTATGTATGTATGTATGTATGTATGTATGTATGTATGTATGTATGTATGTATGTATGTATGTATGTATGTATGTATGTATGTATGTATGTATGTATGTATGTATGTATGTATGTATGTATGTATGTATGTATGTATGTATGTATGTATGTATGTATGTATGTATGTATGTATGTATGTATGTATGTATGTATGTATGTATGTATGTATGTATGTATGATGATGATGTGGAGGATGCCGATGGCAATGATGACAGCGGTGATGATGATGATGACGATGATGATGATGACCATGAGGAAGATGATGAAAAGTGTCATCGTAGCATCCGTTGCATCTCCAACAAGGACGATGACAAGTATTATCGCAGCATCTCCTGCATCTCCAACAGTGGGATGATGACAACGGTGATGATGACGAGGATGGCTATGAGGAAGATGATAGTGACTGTCTAGCAGTGCCTGGATAACTAGCATCGTAGTATCCGTTGCATTGCACATGGTGTCTAACGTCCCTTTTGATATCTTTGTAAGAAGTAAAGAAATGATGATGATGAGGAAGATGATGAAAAGTATCATCGTAGCATCCGACGATAACAAAAACAAGTGATGATGACGAGGAATCTCAAATCGCATGATAATCATCACTATGCATCCTCAGTATCACCAGCAATCATGATGATCATGAAAATCGGGTGATGATACTTGTCACTATGCATCCTTAGCATCACCAGCAGTTATGATGATAATCATGAACACGCATCTTCTGGGAGGAGGATGTGACTATGAGGAAGATGATAAAAGTCTGCATCTCCAACGAAGACGATGACAAGTATTGTCGTAGCATCCCCTGCATCTCCAACAGTGGATGATGATGACGATGATGATGATGACAACGGTGGATGACGAGGATGACTATGATGATCATTCGCGTCATCACAAGTATCATCGCAACATCCTCTGCATCTCCAGCAGTGCCTCGATAACTATCATCGTAGCATCCGTTGCATTGCAAGTGGGGTCTGGCGTTACTTTTGATTTCTATGTAAGAAGTAAGAAAGGATGATGATGAGGATGATGACTATGAGGAAGACGATGAAAAGTATCATCGTAGCATCCGCTGCATCTCCAACGATGACGATGATAAGTATCATCGTAGCATGCCTTGATGACGATAATGATGATGATGACCATGAGGAAGATGAGGAAAAGTATCATCGTAGCATCTAACGGTTGAAAAGTATCATCCTAGCATCCAACAGTGGATGATGATGACGATGATGATGATGATGACAAGCGTCATCACAAGTATCATCGCAGCATCCTGATGATAATCATGAATACGCATCTTTTGCATCTCAAATCGAGCGATGACAGTTATCACCACGCATCCCCAGCATCTCTTGCAGGCATGAGGATGATGATGGTGATAGCGGTGATGATCAGGATGATGACTATGAGGAAGATGATGAACAGTATCATCGTAGCATCCGCTGCATCTCCAACGATGACGATGATAAGTATCATCGGAGCATCCCCTGCATCTCCAACAGTTGATGATGACGATGATGATGATGACAACGGTGATGATGATGACGATGATAATGATGATGATGATGACAATGGGAAGATGATGAAAAGTATCATCGTAGCATCCGCTGCATCTCCAACGATGATGATGACAAGCATCATGTAGCATCCCCTGCATCTTCAACAGTGGATGATGATGACGATGATGATGATGACAACGGTGATGATGAATGAGGAAGATGATGGCGATCATCCGCGTCATCGCAACTATCATCGCGACATCCAGCGGTGCCTTGACCACTATCATCGTAGCATCCCTTGAATCGCCAATGGAGCCGCGCGTGATGATTATTATGATGATGACGAAAACGATGACGATAACGATGATGAGGAGGATGACGACGATGTTGATGATGATGACACCCTTCCCATGCGCCTCGCCCTTGCAGACAAGGGGTCGGCGGATATATACATAGGGAAGCCCAAAGGAAAGTGTGGCCCTCAACCGTTTGAGAACCACCCACCCCCTTCTGCTCGGTTTTGCGGGTAAGCTCGCCGGAAAAAAAAGGAGCCCGTCATGATGAAGATTCCTATCCCTGACTTCAGGTGCTGGAGTTCTCCTCTGAACCCTCAAAAGCGTGGAATTCTTTCCAGCTGTGTCTGACTGAAACAAAACGGCAAAATACTATTTGAGGGGCAAGGTTTCTCAGATTCGCAGATCCCTTGGAGGCCACTGGAGCATGATAGGCCCTACAAGCAATGATTCATGGCATAGTTACGTAACGCCGGGGGGGGGGGGTTGACGTCAACCCACGATGGACCAAGTCCAAGAAAGATGTAGCTCTGCAATGCTTCCGCGTTACTTGACCTTTGCCATGCGCAGTCACCAGGCTGTGGTCGCTCGTCATTTGTCGTCATCCGGGGATCCGGGCAGACCTTGGGAAGACACAATGCAAGTGCTCCTTGGCCGCCCGATATACCCGGTCGAACCAGCCAGCCAGCCAACCAGCCAAACACAAGTGCTACTTGTTCAATTGTTGCGCTGCTTGCTGGGGTAGCTTTTTGTTTGCAGCAGGCGTACATTCTCTTTCCACCATCGTCCGGCACATGCATTTTAGAAGGCAACGTGTTGTTTGGAAAGGCTCTTCTTTTCCGCTTCCAACTCGCAAAGACTGGCGACCGGTGAAGCGCCCTTTAAGCGCTTTGCATCGTATCAATGGGCGGAGGCCAACCAGTTTGTGAACAGCCTCCAAGAGGAGCTCACAAAATTGGCCCCGGTGATCACCGAGAAGATCAAGGAGGCGGGAAGCAGTCTGCAGTTGCAGTTGGCGGCCGCTTTGGCTGAGGATGTATCCTAAATCTGCTGACAACCTTGATGCGGTTTTGGTTGGTTTTTTTTAAGGCAAGTTGCAGGGAAAGCCATGTGTGGGAATACAGCCAATGAATTGTTGTGGTTTTGCCGGTCGCAATTGTAGAAATCCCTAAGAGTAGGACACTTGCATGCGCTTTTGCTTCTTGTGGGTTCCAGAGAGAGAGACAGAGAGAAGAAAAACAAAAGCAAATGAAGAGAGAGAGAGAGAGAGAGTTGCCTTATGTCCCAGGCGGCTTTTGCGAGCAACAACGCACTTTGCCGTGGGTGAGCTATCTTTGCATCGTTGGTTTACGGTTCAGCCATTTGACCGGGAGTACAAGACACCCTTTGCGAGAGGCACTTCGCACAGTCACCGATAGACGGATTCCAGGTTGGATTCCAGAATGCGATGGCTCTTGACCAGAAGGATGCCATGGCATCAATCCGACAACCCCGAAGAAATGTCTATATAATGTATTCAATGACTCCGTTCCCTTTGTCTATGAAAGAATCTGCAAGAGACGCAATCAGCAGAAATCACCACTTAGCCCAGATGCCAATCTCGTGAGGCAGATGAGTTGGTGCCAGTCGTCACAGAGGAGCAGAAAAAGGCCGGTCGGACCAAGTTGGAACGTGAGTAGGGTCGAATTGTGAGACAGGGTTGTTGGACCCTAAGTATGGCTCACTCAAAAAAAGGAAGCAGATCCGAGTTAGTTCTATGAGGGGTTGGCGATTGGAAGCCGTCTTCTGCCTTCTAGGGCGCTGGTGGTGTGGTCAAATTGACTGATGCCAACGACCAGCGATGTCAGACATAATTACATTATGAGTGATTTGTTTCCCTATTCACTTCGAACAATAGGTAGCAATGGTCTACCCTCGGCGGCTCTGCTTTGGAGAATTCTGCAGCTTGAGCAACGTATCCAAACGCATTCGGGGTGTGTTGGTCCCAACGTGGTGGCACATTCGATTCAGTTATGAACAGGTCTTCCAAGCTCAAGTTTTTGTGTGCGTTGAGTGTGGACGCCTGGACAGCAGCAAACACGGACCTTGATATTTGGCCTTGCTTCTCTGGCGGACTCGATTCAGGCTGAAGTGATCAAGGAGAAGGTTGCAAGCGAAGAGGCACAGAGCGCCGAATGAGCGGTTTTGACCTTCGGCCTGCCCAAGATCTTGTCCTGGACTCGTGGGGGATAAGCCACCACGTAGAACTATTAAGATTAACCACCTGTTGGATTCCATCGACGTGGTTACCCTGTTCGGGGTGAAGTTCGCTCCCAGTCACAGTCAAACAGGTGACCCTATTCCGCCCGAAACATGGAAACATGGCTCAAAACCGCACATTGCAAGCCGTGCACCATTGTGATGCTATACAAAGCACTCGTTTAACGCTATCTTTGGTGGAGTTTCATAGAAATACTCAGCCCAAGCCCGCTTCAAGTTGGTCAACGCCTCGCTGGGGCACCTTGCTGCTTCCTGAGAATATTTGGCTTGGTGGCTCCCAGCCACCCCCTTGGCTTTTTAGCCTTTTAGTGTTTAGTGGTGGTTTCCATTTAACCCAAAACTTTTAGCAGGGGATCCGAGGGCAGCCCAGTTGGCAGCAATACTTCTTTTTTTTGTGGGACTCTTGGGAAAGTCATTGAATGTGATCTCACGGAGGAGCTGGGAATCTTTTTCCTGGCCGCCTTTGTGTTGCTTCAGGCCGCAGGGAAACCACACCATTTGACTGAATCAGAAGCTGTCGATGTGCGGAGTCGTTGCCAGGTTGTGGTCAGAAAGCAGGCGGATGAAGTGAAGGCCATTGCGGATGACGCGCAGAAAGACCTCGACATTGCCATGCCGGCTCTTGAGAGTGCCTTGGATACCATGTCGGGAGCGATGCTCGTGAACGCATCGGCATCGTGCCTGGTTGTGTAAGAAGTTCCAGTGAACGCTTTCAGAATTCGTGGCGGCAACAGTCGATGGCCAGTTGAACAATGACAGAATATTTTTTTGGGCAGTCAGTCGGGCCGCTGTTGTCGGGCTCGCATGCAACACAATTGCGTGCATTCCCGCAAGATGCGTGAACTCATCCATGGTTTGCTGCGAGCGCTTCCTGTATATGTTGATTCCGCCGCACAGACACAGCCACCGGAGTTCCCCTCGAGTCGAGCTTGTTTGTCTTTGCTTGGTGCCTCTACGTTGGCATGCTTTTCCCTTTGCCTAGATCCTAGATCCGGAGGCAATTGGACCGCAGGCTTTGGTCCATGTGTCCACTTGCCAAGCCATTTTGGTTGGTTACCCTATGTTTGACAACCACAGCTATGTTTGACAACCACAGCCAGTGGAACCCAGTGGCAACTCTGAGGCGCCCTGAAGTCTTTGGATGCCTTGGACAAGAAGGACATCCAGGACCCGAGCGGACGGTCGAGGATCTTGATTGCTTCAGCCCAAGACTGCCGCAAACGATGCACCAAACAAAAACCGCCATACTTGTGTGTGTGTGTGTTTAGTGGTTGGAACACCAACCCAGAAATTGTCGGTGGACATAGCTCCCCATAAAATTGGTGCCCGCCAAAGAAATCCCTGCTCAAAGACATATCCAACTGGTTGTCCTTTCTTATGGGCACGGAGTGGGTTGTTTCCCGACCACAAGCAGTTAATCCTTTTTGGCTGTGTGGTGTATGCTCTGCTGACAAAACGAGGAGGCAATGGAGATGCGGCCCTTGACTCGGGATATTCTAAGGAAGCAACAGACATGTGTGTGTGTGTGTTCGCGCGTGTCTGCTATTCCAGCAGCCATGTCCCACTCAGGGAATCTTCACCACCGAATACATGCCGTGGATTTTACTGATGTGCGCAAATGTGCAAAGCTCCTAGGATGTACATTGGACATATGCATGTGTGCGGTTCCTCTTGTCAACTCATCCATGGTCACTAAATCGACCAGCAATTGTCCACCATTTGATGTACGGTTTGTGTCCTGGCCGTTTTACGGCAAAGATTCGCAGCCAAGACCTGAATTTGGGTTGTCCACAAAGACTAGACAACATGACACCATACAAAACAGAGCAACCAAACGCACATCGCAAGCTTTGCTATTGGCTGATGTTCCAATCTATGTGTGTGTGTGTGTGCTTCCTTTGCTTATCTATAGTATCGGGCTAGCACTTAGAATATATTTTACTCCGTCCGATCCTCACTTAGAATATATTTTACTCCGAAAATATCCCAAAACATCAGTTATAATATTTAGGTTCACAAGTGACACTTAGAATAATTCAGATAGCATACACTTAGAATAATTCAGATAGAATATGTTTTGACAGACATAATATTTCACAGAATATTTCAGCAAGCTGGGTCACAAGGCAATTTCACACACCAATTGATGGCGTCGAACCGTTTGATGACATCGAGCCGCGCAGATGCATGGGGTCAAGGAAGAAGAAGTGAATAATAAAAGCAGATGGTGATGTCTCAGATGTCCATGAAGCATTGCTAGTGAGAATTGAGCTTAGAGGGGGGGGAAGCTCGAACGCTTTCACGAAAAGCTCAAAGGTAGAAACTTTGGAGTTGCACGCGGGCGGTAAAATCAGGTCCTCCGAGCCAGGACTAATTTTAGCATTGCCGGTACTTAATTTTGCATTGCCAGTACTAGTTTGAGAATAGTACTCATGTATATTGTCAGTACTAATTTTAGCATTGCCAATAGTAAATTTAGTATTGGCAGGACATTCTTGCTATTGCCGGTACTGAATTTAGCATTGCCAATATAGACTTTGGATTGCCAATGCTAAGCCTAGTAAAGTTTAGCAAGGATTTGAACTGTAAAATTCTTTATTTAAAAACGTATCCTGGAAGGTTTTTTGGCTACGAGAAGAGGGGGTAGCTTTGCCGCAATAGTCAATTTAGTATTGCCAGTACTAACTTTAGTATTGCCAATAGTAAATTTGGTATTTTTATCAGATAGAATAATTCAGCAAGGGCCGTAGATTTTCAAAATAAACCTGTTCTGATAACACATTTCTCGACTTGCTTTGGACTGCCAGGACTAAACTTAGTATTGCCAATACCTCCTTTCAAAGGTCATTTTCCAGACCTCGCAGCCTTTGTATCTGACACAGATTATTCTATTTGTCTGTTCCACTTCCAGGGATTTGCACAGGCATGTCAAGATTGGGATTACTCGAACTGTCTCATTTATTCATATGTGGTCTCGGTACTGTTTGGGGTTGGGTTAAAAGGAAAGGAATGCCACCCCGTGTTGGGACATAGTGGGGTACCCTCAAAAACTAAGCAAACACATATTTACTATGTATATGTTTATATATTTGCATACGATTGAATGCATGATGAAGGTGTCCTGGCCCAAACACACATATTCTAGCTGTGCCACCCCATGGTGGTCATTTGTATTTTGGGCTCGGTACCGTTTGGGGTTGGGTTAAAGGGAAAGGAAGGCCACCCCTTTTTGGAGAATAATGGGGTACCCTCAAAAAACGCAAATCCATATCTACTATGTATAATATATATATATATATATATGTTTATGTGTGCATACGATTAATTGCCTAATGCAGGTTCCCGGCCCAAAAACAGTTATTCTAACTGTGCCCCCCGATGGTGTACAATGTATAGCTTCGGCTCGGTACCGTTTGGGGTTGGGCTAAAGGGACAGGAAGGCCACGCTTTTGGACCCTCAAAGAATAAACAAAACAATATTTACTATCTCTATATCTTTCATTATGCCTACGATTCATCACCTGCTGAAGTTTTGCCAAAAACACATATTCTAACTCCACCCCATGGTGTTCATTTGTATTTTGGGCTCGGTACCGTTTGGGGTTGGGTCAAAGGGAAAGGAAGGCCACCCCTTGTTGGAGTGTACTGAAGTGCCCTTAAAAATAAGCCATCCAATGCTTGCTATCTCTCTCTGTTATATATATATATATATGTATTAAAGTGTGGCCTGATGAAGGTTTTCCGCCTCTATCTGTGCCGCCCCATGGTGTTTATGTATAGCTTCGGCTCGGTATCGCTTGGGGTTGGGCTAAAGGGAAAGGAAGGCCACGCTTTTGGACCCTCAAATAATAACCAAATCAATATTTACTATCTCTATATCTTTCATTGTGCCTACGATTCATCACCTGATGAAGTTTTGCCAAAAACAAATATCCTAACTGTGCCACCCCATGGTGTTCATTTGTATTTTGGGCTCGGTACCGTTTGGGGTTGGGCGAAAGGGAAAGGAAGGCCACGCTTTTGGACCCTCAAAGAATAAACAAAACAATATTTACTATCTCTATATCTTTCATTATGCCTACGATTCATCACCTGATGCCAAACACACATATTCTAACTGTGCCACCCCATGGTGTTCATGCATTGGTTGGGTTAAAGGGAAAGGAAGGCCACCCCTTGTTGGAATATACTGGGGTACCCTCAAAAAATAAGCAATCCAATATTTACTATCTCTATATTTAGTAATTTATGCATACGATGAATCACCTGATGAAGGTTTGCAAAAGCAAATATTCTATGTGCCCCCCCCAAATGGTGTTCATGAATATTTTGGGCTCGGTACCGTTTGAGTCTCTGGAGAATTTGCTGTATATGAAATATTCTATCTGTTTGTGGGAGGGGCATGGCCCGTCGGGCTGAGCATTTGAGCTCCGAAAAAAGGAGAAGCCATGCATTCCTCTGGTAAATGCGTGTGTCTTTCTTAGGGGGACCCCTCACAACGGTTGGTTTCCGTTTGGTTTTGCATATACCCTTGAAAGAGAGACGGACCCAAATGGAAAATCATGGGACCCACAGCCACATGGTTTGCTGAAAGCCGTACATAGAAACATCTAGCAACAGGCTAGCAGCTAGGACATTTATCGCAGAGTAGTTGTTCATAGCAGAAACCCTTGTTTTGAAATATTCTATCTGTCTGTGGGAGAGGGGCATGGCCCGTCGGGCTGAGCATGTGAGCTCCGAAAAAAGGAGAAGCCATGCATTCCTCTGGTAAATGCGTGTGTCTTTCTTAGGGGGACCCCTCAAAACGGTTGGTTTCCGTTTGGTTTTGCATATACCCTTGAAAGAGAGACGGACCCAAATGGAAAATCATGGGACCCACAGCCACATGGTTTGCTGAAAGCCGTACATCTAGCAACAGGCTAGCAGCTAGGACATTTATCGCAGAGTAGTTGTTCATAGCAGAAACCCTTATTTTGAAATATTCTATCTGTCTGTGGGGGAGGGGCATGGCCCGTCGGGCTGAGCATTTGAGCTCCGAAAAAATGGGGAAGCCATGCATCATGCATTCCTTTGGCAAATGCGTGTGTCTTTCTTTGAGGGGACCCCTCAAAACGGTTGGTTTCCGTTTGGTTTTGCGTATACCCTTGAAAGAGAGACGGACCCAAATGGAAAATCATGGGACCCACATGGTTTGCTGAAAGCCGTATATATATATATAGAAACATCTAGCAACGGGCTAGCAGCTAGGACATTTATCGCAGAGTAGTTGTTCATAGCAGAAACCCCTATTTTGAAATATTATATCTGTTGTTTTCTTATTTTGAAATATTCTATCTGTTGTCTTCTTTTTGGTTGAAATATTCTATCTTCAATTGTTTTTTATTCTAACTGACGTTTTTCCTATTTATTCTAACTCATTTTTGATAGACTTTTGAAATGTGCATTTTCATTTACTCTAAAAAATATATTCTAACTGCTAGCCCGACACTATATTTGTTGCCTGTTTGTTGCTCCTGTTTGTGTTTTAGGCTGTTTTGTTCTTTGTTTGTTTCCTCGGTCCTGCCACTGTTTGCTACCCTCCACTCCCGCACCTACTCCCCCACCCCACTTTCCTGTCCGGCATGCTTCTTGCTATTTTTCTGTTTGCTGGTTTATTGTTGCTATTATTGTATATTAGTATTGCTCAATAGTTATTATATATTTTTTGATTTGTTGATTTATTATGTTTATCATTAGTATGTTATTATTATTGCTGTTTATTGCCATTAAGTATCCGTATTATGAGGTTTATGTTATTACTACTTTTATTGGTATTGTTATTGTTATTGTTATGTGTTGTTTTAGTTTTAGTGCACCGTTTTGCTGTTTGGCAATGCTCGCTGGGGTATACTACCTGGCGGATTAGGCAACAGCGTACCAAAACAAGTGCGACACAGCCCCTCTAGTGGGGTGGACAAACGCCAGGCACAAGTTGGGATGGATGAAACTCCGCTAGGTCCCCCCAGCTAGGTGCCCTTTCTCACCCTTTTTTTGGGGGAGGCTTCCCCTACTAGAGTAGACTACAGAAGAAAAATCGTGTACCCTGATTCTAACCTCTCTACTGGGGGACCTTGCGAAGCCTCGAGGAGATCAAGTCCTTCGCGAAGCCACCCCCTCTGGTGATGATGACCATGGAGGCGCGACGCGCGCGCGATCGAGTGGCTGGGGAGAAGGTCCCAAAGGATGCTCAGCCTGGTTGTGACCCATGAGTTTGAATAGGGAACACCCTCTAAAGTGGTTGCCCCGAGCTTTGATGTTCAAACGGCCCGGGACCCTCTAAAACACACACGCAAGTCAACCAAACCCAGTTTCACTTATCACCTTGGTCAGGCCTGACTGGTTTGCACATCTAAGTTTGAAAGGAACATGGGGTGACAACATGGGCCGGACTTTCTTGGGAGACACCCCCCCTTCAAAGGACACACTGAATGATGCCAGCGTCCCCAAAGAGGCGCAATTTTGGCACCCCCTGCTCATAGGCTACTACCCTCCACAAAAAATCGTCTCGGTGACACCTGTTGCGTGTCATGTTCTTTGTGCTTGGAGGGGCGTTCCACGGTCCCTTTGTGTCCCAAGGGCACTAGAGCTTTTGGCCTGCGAGTATTTTGATGTCGTTGCCGCTCAAAGTCGAAAGTTCTATCCAGGGCAAAGATCTTCAGCATGGTCAACATATGTTGACCAAGCAGAAAACAGCTAGCCAGGCAGGGTTGTCAACATTCAGGGATTGTTTTTTCCGGCATCTTCAAAAGGGGGCACAAGGCGATGCCGTGGTCCAACCCGGGACTCTTGCTTTCTTTTTGAATCTCCCCCCCAAGGCCCGTTTGTTCCTCGTTTGTTTGATCCGGTCGTTCGAGGCGGTGAATGTGCTGCTGCAAGAGAAGCCGGACTGGGACACTGCCAAGAAAGTGCTGAACCGGCCCACCTTCTTGCAGGACTTAAAGTCCTACGACAAGGACCGAAAGCTGTTTCTTCAGCTTTGGCGCGTTGCGTGTTGTTTCGCATGTGTTGTGACAAATTGGGTTTCCCTCTAAAGGGAAACCACTTGAGGTTGTTCAAACACATTGGTGGCTTGAAGCATGGCTTGAACCAGGAAACCCAAATCCTTAAAGGGAGCCGCCGGCAAATGTCTACAGTAGACAAGGTTAGGGCACAGTCCGTTGCCAGAAGTTGGTACGGCAAGAACATAGGTGTTTTGTATTCGAGGTGGTACGCTTGAATAAGCGTCCTTTCCCCCATGAAGCAAATGCTTGTGTTTGCTTCTGAGACCACTTGCTGCAGGTCATTCGCCTAGCTTCTTACCTTCAGGCTGCACCTGTTTTGTTTGTGAGTGCTTCCGTCATGGTTCCGTGCACGGTGCATTGAGTGTAGCACTTGACCTGGGCGAATCGAGCGGTTCCTTAAGGCAATCTGGAGATTCGAATGATAGCTCGGGTACAGGTGCTATTTGAGCCTTTTATTGCATGGCTGCGGCGTATTCTTTTGGGGGGGGGGGCGGGGAGGGGGGGGGTAAGTTCTGCCTTTTGGTGAGGGAAACCAAACGGACCAGCATTTGGGAGGCTCTAAGGCAAGGGACCCGAACCCGTGAAATGAGGACAACATTCCGGAGAAGGTGCTGAAACAGCTCTCCAAGCCCGACGCCCCAGCCCAGAAAAGGGAGAACCTGTCGGATGGCAGGGCCCAAGACTGTTACTTGTTGCCTGAAATGCCTTTGCGATACGTGCTGGAATTTGGGATGTGCAGACAGGGAAGCTCCGGTCAGGGGCCATAAATTGATGCTTCCGATGGCTTTTTTTGGGGGACCTGCCATCGGAAAGTTCGCCATCGCGGAGGCCTTTGGACCCAAGGAAGGGATCCTTTTGATCAGTTCTCATCACACCAGTCGCGCAACCGCGACTGCAAATGCTTGGACGCGCGTGTCAAGGCGTCGCTGGTGCTTGCGAGTTTTTGCACAGGCCTCTTGCCGAGGTTTGGATACCATGGTTTGAGTCCCAAGTTCATCTCGGGATGTTCAAAAAGGACGGCTCAAGCCAGTCGTTACTTTCCCAAGTCCCGTCTTTGTTGTCTTTAATTGCTTGCCAGTAGCTTTCTAACTGTATGACCAATATGGAGCTGTACCCTGGTTGCTGGCCAAGCTACTCATAGCACGTTTCTAATATTGTGTAGATGCTGCTTGCAATCATCACGGATCATACATGCATTGCATTGCACTACACAGCAATGCATGTCATTGCATGGCATTGCATTGCCAACGTACACACATACTTACAAGTAATTTATGTACACATCAGGTACAACTATGTGCAAACGTGTATCATCCTTCGAGTAGACCGCCTTTCAGCTGCAAGGTATGTGACCAAGCCAGAGTACACAGTGGAGGCAGTGGGAAACCAGAGCAAGGCGGGGGGGGGGGGGCATGAGCGTCCAGATGCGGAGATGCGGATGGAGGAGCTTGGATTTGCAAATAGGCAACATGAGCTAGGGGACGGGCAACTTATCAGCAACGAAAGTCCCCCCCCCCCCTCGCGTTGTTCGCAAGGAGTAAGCAAGCGGCTCGGCTCGAGTTCGGTTTTGTCAGGCTGCGAAGAGTCTGTGCATGTGGACCTATGCCATGGACACCTACTCGAAGGCAGGCCGAAGTCAAAACGTGTCAACCATGTGGACAACCAACAGGAAGCGTGCACAACCAGAGCCACCATCAAGCCCGGGTAATTGAATTGGAGGCTAGTAAGGGACAATCCCAGCCATAAATGGGTGCGGATATCCGCCTTGTCAATTCTTTTCCTGGTTCTGGGTGGACCATTTTAGGACCGAGCTTCGATGACCAGACTGCACTCCTGAAGTCCACTCTCTGGAGGGCCATGTTGCTGGTCCAGTTTACTCAAACGTGGCACGTCTCTTTACATGCTATGTGTGTGCTTGCGGAGGTTTGGCCTTGAGCGGCTGCGTGAACGAGTGCGTGTTGCAGCCACAAGCCTACTCTTGTAAAGAGTCTAGCATTGGCTGGACACTGCAGTCCCAGGTTGAAGAGAACCTTAAGACCACAGTTGCGCCACAAGGAAGAGAACCCTAAGACGGTGAACCATAATTCTTTGTCGGGCCGGAAGGGAATGCATACTAGCTATTCCCACGTATTCGTTTTGAAGCTTGGGCCACTCACTGCAGTACTACTGTTCCGAGCAAGATCAACTTTTTCTCCCCCTAGTGCCCTTGATTTTTGAACCGCTGCAGAAGTGAAAGTCAGGCATCCCTTGGTGGTTTGGGGATTTCTTGTAGAGGGTACATGGGAAGCCACCCCTGAAGCACCAATCCACCAATCCAAACCACCAAGTGGGAGGAGGCTGAAAACAAAGGCACGTCTTTATCTACCGCTTTCCAGCCGCTGCCTCGATCGGTCAATCGAGCATGTTTGGTGGAGACTCCCCATGCAACTTTGATGTCCAGGTCCCCAACTCGCACCCAGCCCTCGGACCTGAAGCGGCGGACTTGCTTGCCAGGTGGGTATGGGTCAAAATAAAGACCAGCAAACCGCAGGTTTTCGTCTTTGGCTCCATTCAGGGCAACCCATCTTGGGCGCGCGTTTTTGTGCCACAGCCAGGTGGCGAAAGAAGTGGAGCCCAAGAAGCAGAAGGCGGACGGTGATTCCGCTGACCGATGAGGAAACCCCCGGGTTCATTCACGGAGGGTGTCCCCTTGTCCCGGATGCGGATGTCGCTGACACGAACGAGGAATGGGTTCATGGACACCCGGGGTCAACATTGTGGAAAACCTGGGATCCAGCAGCTTGAACCTCAAGGTAAGAGTTGATTGGATGAGTCGGGCAAGGGAGACCTGGAAGGGATAAGACTTGGAATGCGGCACCCAGAAGGAGACATTCTTAAAATTGGATTGCAAGAATGCTTACCTCGTGGGGCGCAAATCAGCCCTAAATATGGCCTTAAGGGCTTAAGAAGGGCTTATTTGGGCTCCCCCCCCGCTCCCTTCGCCCAAGCCCCATGATTACCTGCGAGGGGAGCATGTGTGAAGCGACCCAACAAAGTTGACAAACTTCCGTGCGCGTTTGCGTGCTCGGGGCAAGCTCTTCAAGCTGCCTTTTGTTAGAGAGTGCTTTTCGCCATGAACATGACACGTTGTAAATGAGTAGTTCTATGAGTTCTCTGCAAGCTTGTGTCATAAGAGACACACCCAGAAAGAGACCCATTCCCCGTGTCCAAAGGTGGCTGAGCTGAACGACAAGCTGGCGAAGGCCAATTCGGAGCTTCAGGCGAGCCTGGAGATGTTTATGGGCGTCACGTGTTCGGTGTAAACAAACAAACAAATAAATGCATCAACGACGAAACAAATATAGAGAGATTATGCGATGCACATATGTGCATGCCTATATATATATATATATATGCGGGCCGTCCGCAAATGCATGTCTTCAAATTATGTGTTCAGGTAACTTGTTGGTTGTGCGCGATTGGTGCATCGCAAAAAAGGCCGGCGATTGGGCCGCGATTGGGATAACATCTACATGTTGGGATGACCCCTCGTTGGAAGCGCATTATATGTTGCCAAGTTTGCTCCGCGGTTGGCCCCGCTGTGGTCGCCATTGGAGCGCGAAAGGCCGGCGATTGGAGGGTGTTCAGGAAAAGCAATATTGGATAACCCCCATATACACATGATATACATGTGTACACCTGTTTTCCCTTGTACACATGTAGATATAAACAATATATACACTTATAAAAATATAATTACATATGTGTTCAGACTTCAGACACCACATCAAACCAACTCCAGGCAACTACAACAAAAGACATTCAAACACGTGAGGATAATCTCGCATTCCGTCTCGAAATGGTTGCTTTGTTGGCTCTCCCATGATTTTCGTTGAATATGTGTGTGTTTCCTTGTGTGTTTGTGTGTGTTATTTCTTTATTTATTTCTTTATTTCTTTATTTCTTTATTCATTTCTTTATTTGTTTCTTTGTTTCTTTCTTTCTTTCTTTCTTTCTTTCTTTCTTTCTTTCTTTCTTTTTGTTCTCTATTTTATATGTTTCTTTCTTTGTTTCTTTTGGGCTAAAGCGTTAACCGTAGGTGGTCGCTTGTCTTGACTCTTAATAAGTATCCACTTGGGCCACCATTTTGGCTCAAGTGGACCTTTTGATCTTTTGTCTTGTGATTTGAAATCTTTCTTTCCCCTACTCTCAAAGCCATGTACGCCCCCGCCTACGCTGGTGCCGCGGTAGCAGAGGCCAAGGCTAAGGCAAAGGCTTCCATGGCAAAGTACCTGGCGAGCCTCGTGAAGAGGGAGGAAGAAGGATGGACCGTTTTGGCTGCTGAGGTCCCTCAGGCACCTGACGAGCGTTTCTTCTCCAGCGCAGATGAGCTGGAGCAGGCCCCCCTTATCCCGGCCAAGCGCAAGGCAGAGGATGAGCCGATGGAAGATGCAGCCCCTGGGGTGGCGCAGGTGCCGAAGGCCCTGACACGCCCCCCAGGGGCGTTCCTGGAGCTCCTGAACCCGCCGGAGGAGGACGTGCCCATGGAGGAGCTCCTGGCGAAGGACGAGAAGGAGCTGCCGATGCCCAGGTCCCCCTCGGCTGCAGCCCGCTTGGAGGAGGCCCGCCTGGATGCCCGGGCAGACGCCAAGTGGCAGAGGCGCCGGGAGCTGATGGCGAAGGTCAAGGAGCAGGCGTCCTCGGAGGAGGATGAGAACCCCGCAGCCCCCCCGCCGGGGGGGAGCGTGTTCACCAAGGCCCTCAAGGTCTCGGAGGGCCTCTACCAGTTCAGCGACGACCAGATGGCGGGCGACTTCCCTTGCTTCGATGCGACCACGGCCACTAGGCTCCGCCGACTGCAGGCCAAGGACGTCCAGCGGCTCCTGCGAGGCTTTGAGGGCCCCCAACTCAAGCGGGGGGGCCTGGAGCGCGTTGTGGAGGCCTTCTACATCGCCAAGATGAAGTACGAGCATGAGGCCCGGCTCAGCACCCCGGGACAGCAGGTTGGCAAGCGCGCTGGCTTGGGGTACGGGGGCCTGGAGAACCGCCCCCTGGGCAAGGTGCCCACATCCTGGATCTGCCCCTGCTGCACCATGCCCTGGGTGAAGAAGGGCGCCACGAAGTGCATGGGGTGCGGCAAGAAGACGGAGCCCATTGAACACGGCGACCAACTCGGCCACCCTGGAGATGGCGGGCACGCATTGGCAGTTGACGGTGGATGACCAGGGCAATGCGGTCTGGACGGCGGCCCGGTCCGCGGGTGCCGAAGGCCCTGACACGGACCGGGCCCGCGACCTCAAGCTCAGTGCCTCGGTGGACGTCAGCGAGCTGGCCACCGACCCGATGGCCTGCGAGAACCCGGACCAGGCCAGCTTCTCGGACTTCGTCCCCTCCTCGGTCCGGGCGGTGATCAGGAACTGCCCCATGGAGCTGGACGAGGAGTTTCTGACGGCCCCACCGGGGGAGAGGCCCCCATTGCCAGGCGACAAGGAAGAGGGCCAGGAATGCAGAGCCTTCCACCCGTCTGCGGTGAAGGCCTTCAAGATTCAGACCCGGCTCAACGCCACCACCATCGCCCAGGAGGAGGCCAAGAAGGCGGACCAGGTGGAAGCGGTGGAGCGCTCCGCGGCGGTCCTCCACGAACTTCAAGGGGGGGCCATTGACGGAGGAGGTGATGGAGGCCTGCTCCTGAAGAACCTGGACTTGGACCTCTTCCGTGAGAAGCTGCTGGACAAGCTGGGTGCGGACTGGGGGAGACCCACACCGGAGCTCCTCCAGGCCCAGACCACTGCGGAGGAGGCGAAAGCGAAACACCAAGCCAGACAGGCGAAGGGCTCCCTCGAAACCAGAATGCTCGAGCCCATCGCGCCTCCCTTCAGTGCGTGGCCTAGTGAGGTCCGGGTCGCCATTGAGACTGGGGTCTTCGAGCCGACAACGGCATGGAGGGACTTCAGTATGGACGACCTCACATCCCTCACGGACTCCTACCTTGAGGCCAAGGCGGTCATCTCGCTGGGTAGGAATCCCTTCCCGGCGGCCCTCCTGTCAGATCTGCCGGACCTGACAGGGATCCCCATGCCAAAGGCGGAGCCTCGGGCTCTAGCTCAGGTGGCCCTGACAAGCCGTCCGCCACCCCGGTGGGCCTGGACACCAAGGACCCGGAGGTGCAGCTCTCGGTCCTGCGCTGGATGATGAGCAAACGGGTCGGAGAGGTCCGTATCTTTGCGGGCCGCTGGGTCCGACGACCGGGCCCGGTACACGTCCCGGATTGGGCGAAAAACCTCACCAAGGTGAATCCGGAGGCGTTGGAGAAGGGTACGCATCCCAGGAACCACCAGGTGGGTGGACTCCCCTGGGCCAGGTACTCCGTTGATGAGTTGCACCAGCAGGCGAAGGCGGGGGACCGACCCTACCCTGGGGACCTGCGATCCATCTTTTGGGCTGCCCCCCACGATCCGGATGAGGACTTCCACTGGACGCGCCAGATCTCGTCCTGGACACTCCCAGGCCTACTGGGGATGTTCGGGCACAGCTACACCCTGCGCCAGCTCTGGGGAGTCTGGGAGTCTCTGCCACTGCTGCAGGGCCCTAGGCAGCGGGGCCCGAAAAACAAGGCCCAGAATCAGACCCGCCTGGAGGGCTGGGAGACCCTGAAGGAGGACGCGCGGTGCTTCCTGAAGGAGGAGGGCCTTCCGTTTCCGCAGACAGGACCGGAGTGGCGATTGGTCTACCGGGCCATGGGCAAGGTCCTCGCGGCCCGGGCCTTCCTCACGGACACCCCGGCGGAGGTGATGCAGCTCCCGGTCCAGGACGTGGCGGACTCCAAGGAGCAGATGATCCTGCGGGCGGTATGCGACGAGCGCATCTCGGTCCCGGTGGAGAGCCTCCAGCAGTTCCCAGAGGTGTACAAGGCCCTCATGGACCGCATTGGAGGCCCGGGGGCCCTGGCGGAGGTGAAGGTCAACTGGCGCTGCAACACGAAGCAGTGGTGGGTCGGCGCAGTCCCCGACTCAGTGGCCCCCTCCATCTACCGCAAGCTCGGCTACACCAACGACATGATCAAGCTGATGGGCCTGGACCCCTCCGCCCCTGGGTGCCGGACAGGTGCCGATGGCCCTGACATCCGCCCCAGGGGAGGCGAGGGCGATGAGGGGATCGTTTACCCCCCCATCACGGCGGACAACGTCCACGGCGTGGTGGGTAAGGACTACCGGAAGAAGAACTATCCGGTGGAGATGAAGCATGTCTTCTGGGCGCACATGGAGTGTGGCCTGGTCCTGAGCTCCGTCACCCCGTGGGAACTCATCCCGAAGACAAAAGGGGAGACCCGGGGGGGCTACATGTGCAAGTATTGTAAGGGGTACTGGCGTGCCGGGGGAGGGGGCACCCGCCTCCTCCAGATCCGGGCCGGCAAGGCCATCTTGCAGCTGGTGTTGGACGAGCCGCCGGAGGGCCTCTACAACCGCTGGGTGAAGGAGCGGCTGGAGTACTACCGCCGGGTGGAGCCCTCGGCCCCGTTGCGGGACGTCTCCATCGTGGACCAGAAGGTGCCCAGGTTCAGATTCAGCCAGACCACCCAGACAGGCCACGTCTCCAATGCCATCTGGGAGCTGATTCTGCGGAATCCGGAGGCTGCTGCGCTCAAGCGCATCGATGACATCGCGAAGGGGGCCGCGTGATGATGCGGGACAACGCCATCTTCCGGCACACCATCCAGGACCGCGGCCATCCGGAACGGATGCGCAGCGCACCCCGGGGGGGGGACAGCTGCCGAAGGCGCTGATATCCCCCCCCAGGGAACAGCGCAGGCCCAGACTTGCACCAGGCGAGGAAAATTGGCGCGGCTTGGGCTGATCCGGGGTGCCCCCTCTCTTGTTTGGTTTTCCCTTTTCGGGGCGGCTCCCTGGGTCCCCCTTTTTTCCCCCGTTTCCTCCGTTTCGGGGTTGACTTTCCGGGGTTTTGGGGGGCCCCCTGTTGTTTGGTTGGGGTTTGCACCTAGGGACTAGGCCCCCGGCTCGAGTGGATCATGATGATGTGGAGGCCCCGCCTCCCTTCCCCGTTTGGGACGACCTTCCTAGGGGCGCCAACCGCGCTCCAGTTGATTTTGCATGACCTTGGATTTGCACCAGTGCAGTCGGACGGGGAAATCCTCGTGGCGTGCTGCCTGGAATGGGTCAAAAAGGACAAGGTCGCCAACCCGGATGCGGTGGTCTTTGACCCGCGGCCGTGGACACGGATCGTGGGGCTGGCACCTGACGGCAACCACGTCCTGGTGGCCTCG